CGGCGGCGGAAGCCAAGCCGGCCAAGATGAGCATCACCCGCAAGGTCTCCATCCACTTCAAGGGCAAGAAGGAGAAGGAGCGACTGAAAAAGCTGGCCATGGGCGGCGTGGGCGACCCCAAGCAAGTCCCCCCCTCTGATGGGGCCGCACTGTCCAACCGGCGGTTGTTTTGCAGGTCGCCAGACCCCCAGAAGACGCCCAGCATCGACTCGAAGAAATCCACGACGGAAGCCTCGAATTGCGACCCGAAGACGCCCAACTCCTCGGAGAGCGACAAGAAGAAGGAGAAAAAGGGGCGCAAAAGCGTGTCGGTCAGTCCGGACCGGAACCGCCACGTCCACATGCAGCACGACGGTGAGTTGCCCGTTTGCCCCGCGCCCCGCCCCTTTAGCCCTTTTTGCAGGCCTGGCGGCGAAAAAGCACAAAAAGCACCGCAGGGAGCGGTCGGGCGGCCGCACCCGGCGCGGTTCCACCGATCCCCGCATGCGCGAGCGCTCCTTCTCCGTCTGCACGGACCGATCGCTGGGCGCAGGGGGCGCTGCCGGCAGTTTCCTCTATGAGGAGTACAGCGACCGCGAGCGCACCAACAGTGGCTCCTCCTGTGAGTCGCCCGACAACCATCGCAAGTTCTCCGGCATCTCCAATGCGCCGCTCAACGGCAAACTGCCCTGGTGCGGCTGCTGGGGCAACGGATGCCTTTGACTCGACCACCCTGTATATATTCCTACTATCAGCACGCAAATAAAACCCGTTTTTTTCGTACTCTTATTAGCTTATTTAAGCCAGTGGTGATGTCTGCGGCACTTTTTAGGACTCATCAGCCTCCTGCCTGACGTCACGCACTGTTCCCCTAACAAGAGTGACACAGTGTGAAGGCCCTTGACGCGCACATATGACGTGTTGCTATGGCAGTCCGGCGATGGAGGGCAGGTTTTGCGCGCACAAATTCCCCAAAAAAACCCTCCAAACCATGCAACCAAAACTAACGCTGCAGTCGACAAAACTCACTAAAAACATTGTCACAAAAACGCTAAAAATAGGCCGCAACGGCCCCAGTGTTTGAGTGCTTTACGATGTTTTGGGCTTTGAACGTCGCAACGACTGTTACTCGCGCATGACGTCACTGATGTTTATGGCGACAGCGACATAAACATCCGTGTCAAAGTTGAATGACACCCGTTCGGCCGCTGTCACAGTGACAATTTCCAGATATTCAACAAAGCGATTAATTACGAAATCAACCGGCAATAACTCACCCCAAGCGCTGACTAGCAGCATCGCCGCCAATAAACAATGAATCCCATTCATTTTGCTGGCGTTTCTTCGCTTTAGCGTCGCTGCGCCGTAAACAAGCTGCTGACTGAGGGGCACCAGGTCTCTTCCATGCCACTGGCAGGGTCCGGAACGGCCGCAAAACCCGGCAAACTAGGGAATTATGCAATTAAAACACCCGTTAGATTGGCGAATTCGATGCGAAACCATTGACGCGACCGGGCCGAGCGATTGGGGCCGAATTCGTCCCTCTGCGGTCACGATAAGGGCGCTGCGCGATCGTGCCGAAAGGGCCGCATTGCCTACACCGGTTTTATCGCGCTTTCATCGGGAAAAAGGCCGAAATTTCGCCAAAAAAGCCCGTAAACAAACACAGCACCAAGACGCGTACTGTCACGCTGACTGAATGCGACTGTCAACGCGGTGGGCGGGGCCGCGTGCTCACCCCATGCACGCGCCGTTGCCGGCTTGCGCCCAAACCCCCTTAACACCTTACCAGTTTGGCGAATGCAGTTTTTGTTTTTACACAGATTTTCATCGGATGTTGGCACTGAATTACAAGGTGAAAAACTTGATTTTTTGCAAAAGAGTGTTTTTTTTAATTTTTTGCGTGTTTTAAAAAACGTACGGTGTTTGGAAAATAAAAAAATAGGCATTTTTGGAATTTTTTAAAACCTTCGTTTCCCTCTTGAAAGGAGAAATTTTGAAAAACTCAAAAAATTGGCACCCGCAAAAACTCGCTCCATTTAAACTAGGCCTTAAACTCAGTGAACTTTTAGGAGTTGGCGCAGTGCTGCGCCAACCCAACGCACCGGCACGGTAACCCAGTGTGTGTTGTGTGTTACGCAGGCCTAATTTAAACGCCCGGAGCATTTAACGTACCTATCACTAGGCGGCATTGCCAGAATGTGGGTCCAGGAGCGGGCAACCAGGAAATTGGGACCGCAACCACGCAGGGAACTGGGAGTGGGGCAGCGAAACTCTGATAAAACCACACAGTGGGCGTGTAATCGGCGACAAACCGCTCAAACTCTGGTGAAATAGGCGCAAAGCGCCTCCAGGGCGCGACGCAGCGCGGCAACAGTGTCCAGCTTGAACGCCAGCAGGTAGAGGGCGGCAGCGTACCAGAGCCCGTCAAACGCCAGCGAGAGCGCGTACATCCTGCGCAAGGGCGGGCGTCAGCAGGCAACCAGCCATACAAACCTTGGGGCACTGACCTGCGGCTGTTCGCTCTGGCGCGCTCGATGTCGCCCCCCTCCTTCAGCAGGTACTGGCGGCCGCCCATGGCGGCATTCCTGAAGAACTCGTAGGGGTCGATCCGGGTCTCCCCATAGCCGAAGGCCTGCACATCGGCGGGCGACAGCCGCTCCTGCAGGGCGCGCGTCTTCTCGTTCACAAACTTCCACTCCTGCATGATGAAGTACTGCAGCGCCATGTTGGCGATGTAGATTTTGCGCTGGATTTTCCACAGCCTGCCAACAGAGCACCCGTACAGGCTGCGCCCCCTGAGCGCCCAGGGAACTTACAATGGCTTGTGGCCTGTTAGTTTGAGCAGGCCGTCCACCAGAAGGGCGGGCAGCAGGTGGTAGAACACCACGCGCAGAAAGTGGTCCGGGTAGCAGCTGGTGACGTGCCCGGTCGGGTACCAAAGCATCGAGTCCAGCGGTACTTCCCAGGCGATCCGCTTGCCTGCAAGCGAGAAGCCATTGAAATTCAATTGGCGCCATCTAGCGACTGCGCGCGTTTTCACTGATTACCTACCGATCTTCACCAGCTCCCGATTGGACATCGGCTGCACGCTGTTGTTGCTCGCATTGAAAACCGCCACGTTCAGCCGCTCCGACTCGCTCCTACCCGCCAGAGCGTTTGATCAATATAGTGAACTGGCCGGAAAATGGTAAGTGCGATTTTCCTTACTTTTCACTCGCTTTGGCCCAAGTGGCCAGGATCAAGCCCTTAACCACCAGGTCCACCGGGATGTAGTCGGACTCCAGGTCGGGGTTGGTGTACATCGACCGCAAAATACCTAAAAAGCTCCAAAACTCAACCAATCAAGTGAGTGAATCAGTGTTACCTTTGCCGCTGGCGACGAAAATCCCCACGGGGCCGTTGAAGTTGTCGATCCAGCCGGGAAACGGGTCACTCGCCGTGGAAATCACTGAAAAAAAACCCCCATGGGATTATCATCTCTGGACGCGTTGCGCAACTTGCCGATAGAGGGCCGGAATATGCAACCAGCAATGCGGCCCTGGCACAGGTCGCTGACCGCGTCCTCGGCCAGCCGCTTCGTGAACGTGTAGGTGTTGGGGAAGGGGCCGATGTAGTGGGGGGTCAGGATGCGCAGCACGTGCTCCTCGCTCTGCTCGGCCACCTCGATGGCGCGCCGCCAGTCGGTGTCTGCGCGGTAGGTTTTCTCCTCGATCACGCGCCGATCCGTGTGGCTGTAGGTGGTGGACACGTGCACAAACACCTCCAGGTGGCGCATCTCGTGCGCCAGCACCCCCACCTCTCTGGTGCCGCGCACATTCAGCAAAATGGCACTTTTCAGCGAGTCGTCGAAGCGCACCGAGGCCGCTGCGTGGTAAATCACGTCGACGTCATCGAGCAACTGCCGCCGATCGGCGGG